TCAAGGTTGTTGACCTATTGTACTTAATTCCTATTTTGAAACCTTGGTCTCCATAAGGGAACAAAATCGGTATTGTAAGGACATATAGTTGGCATGTAGGTTACTAATCCGCTTAAGGCCACCACCCTCTCCTCGAATGATTATATCTCGGACTCTTCTTTTCCTCGAGAGAAGTCCCCGACTATCAAACCAAATATCTCGGACCTCGCCGGTGCACTATACTTTGGGGCATGTTCTTGGACCTATCGTGTAGAAGCCTAAGGCGTAAAGGTTGGCAACGACTCTGCACTCAAAGAGGTCCCTAGCTGCCCTAAATGATTTAACCAAATCATTTGATTCATCAAATGTTCGTACTAATCCTCAACTATCTGCTTGTCAACCTTGATTACCATCGCCGATTCCTTATGCTTATCAAAAATCGATATTCGATTTTGAACTTCGCTTTCGATGTCAAAAATATAGAGCTGTGCATAAACCGGGGCTGCACCTCATCCGGCAAAGAAAAGATCCGATTCTGTGGTGCACCGTCCATTGATCTTAAAAACGTATGGACCAGGCCCCTTGTTCACAAATTGTGTCAATCTTAGCACCAAGGGATGTGAATGCAAACATAGAATTATAGGAACGAATAGATTTAATAAAATATTTGGAAAGAGCACCACCATTTGGATTCAGCAGGCCATCTAGGAAGGGAGGAGGGTCTTTTTGAAACGGCAAACTGACCTTCCTCCCTTACAAAGAAAGGTGGAATCGATTAGCGCTGCGTCACACCGGATATGACCTTTTAACACGTTCTTGGTACCAAAACTGCACCACAATGTTGACACTGGTGTCTTTGGAGGCCCGTAAATATGAAGTTTCGGTGGAAAGGCAATCTACAAAAGGCACGCTCTTTAGACGGGCTCACGAATCCATTTTCGATGGAAGCGAAAGGCCATTAGGCGTGACATAGTATCACCTGTTTTTTCGTGAGCCTCACCACAATTTCCTCGCGATTGAAATCAAAATCTGCATGTTAACAAAGGGAAAGCAACACGCCACAAGCACACCCCCATACAAACGAGAAGGTACACAACCAACCTTGTTTCTTTAGTCGCTTTTGGATTTCCGACGTTGTTGCCTCTCACGTCTTGTACCCTCACCTATAGCTACAGCCTACAGTGCCAAAAGCAATAAAGGGAAGACACGGATGAGTGCCTAATTAGATATGGGAACAACATAATCGAAGAGGGAATGGTAAACGCTAAAAAGAAGACAAAACACCATCCTTATAATAGGTAAAAATACACGTCCATGGGCATCACATGTATACCAAACGATAAAAAGAGGAGTATATAGTGACACCTTGGAGTGAAGTCGCACTGCTCTCCCACACCTCTTCCTTGGACGGCTAGAGGAAGCACCTTCCATGTGCCATCAATGCGGTCCTGTATACACGCTTGGAAGCTAAAAAATCATGTAGAGAAATGATGACCAAGAGGACAAAGGAAAAGTTAGTAGACGGAAGGAGAGATGTGAACGAAAGGAAAAGGAAGAAACAGGAAGGGAAACAGTGTGAGCGCACAAAGGCGTGTCTGATAGGTTCGTATTGGCATGCCAACCAAGGTAGCTCAAATGAAATTGTTTCTCCTAAATAAGTTAGCTCACATATGAACTGCTATGTCATATCACATGCAAACCTTACTCCTAATCAAGTTAGTTCAAAGGTAAACTGTTAGGTTTATGGGCACATGTTAAACAAGTTAGCGCAAAGGTAGGCCTTCCTCCTAACTAAGTTAGAGTAAACGTGAACTGTTAGGTTCATACCCACACGTTAACCAAGTTAGCCCAAACGTAGGCCTTCCTCGCAATCAAGTTAGCTCAAATGTAGACTGTTAGGTTCATATGCACATGTTAAGCAAGTTAGGTCAAATGTAACCCTTTCTCCCGAACAAGTTAGAATCACGTATGTAAGTGCACGAAATCGCTTCTAGGATCATATGCACATGTTAACCAAGTTAGCCCAAATGCAAACCTTCCTCGAGCCTCTCAAGGCATCCATAAGGAAGCACCTATTTTAGCCCAAATGCAAACCTTCCTCGAGCCTCTCGAGGCCATCCATAAGGAAGCACCTATTTTACAATATCTTTCATTAGGTCCGGTTCGAGAGCACAAACCTACTATGTGGCTTTCAGATGCAATATGTCATTGTCACTCCATTAGTAATCGCTCGACAAATGGCAATCAAGCAGTGCACTTGTCTTGGTGGTTTTAACGTAATAAATGGGAGAAGCAACACCACTGAGGTACTACAGGATGAACTATATGAGATATGACAAGGCCACTTGCAAACAATGGGAGGAGGGTGGTGAAGGAATGGCTAGCATGACACATCCTTATATAGGCAAGAGCGGGAGAGGAGGCACGGGCATATCTCGCCACCACAAGGCGTGAGTAGCCCATCGATGCTAGTGGGGCCCAACCAAAGCAACACATTGTCCCACGTTTGGGAGTGGTGGCCATGCAGTTTCGTTGGGAGGTGTTGGCAATGCAATCGATAAGGACCACCAGACATGCATGGTGTAAAAGAGATGTTAGCCTACCAAAATAAAATTTGTAAAACATGCACTATTAGGTACCTATTGCACACATGCTCATGGCAAATCAAGCGATAAGATCATCTACACTAACTATAATGTTCTAACATGCGATTAAATTTCTGTATAGCAAAGATTTTTTTTGTCGAGTTAAGAGACTCTGCTTTGGCCTCATGTGGAGCTGCGCCCTTGCATGTAAAACTGGAGGGCAGCAAGTTCCTCCATGTAAAACGGTGATGTAACTCTTCATGGTAACATCATGCATAGAAGATGGGGCAATTTTTACCTTGCAGCATTTCATTGGACCCCCTACCTACTTCATTCAATGCACCAAAGAGTATAATACACTCCCCCACTTCACTGCATGCCCCACCTGATATGCATGCATGGAAGAGCAACAGGACCACCGACCTCATTCACTGCACACACGCATGCATGGGAGGACACAATATATGGCTCCTGCAAAATCTATCCAAGTTTGCCTCTCTGCTTAGCTTACCTATCTTCTGCTTCATTTACTCATTGGTACATGAGGGTAATTCAGTGGACAATGAAATTTTTACTAAAGGCCTCACTCAAATGGACGATCGTGGCAAATATGTACCGTGCCTTTTTGTTACCGAAATTTAACCGCTATAAACTACCATGCCTTTTGCTATTAAAAATAAACGATGTAAATTAAGCTCATGAACAGTTTTAGCAGTCCTCTCTCTAATTTACTCGGCTTCTAACCTGCATGCAGAAGCAAAAGCGAGATCACCACACTACCGAGCAAGGAGATGGATGATGGAGAGGGTCTGCATCTGCTCTGCACGATCCATGCTTGGAATAACGCATGCATTGTAAATTTCTCTTGTGGTAGTAACTTTCCTATGCATGTAAGGACATACAATTTTATCTTAACTCTTTTACTTACCCACTTTATTCAATGCACCAACCTGTGAGTCGGATGACCGTCAATCTGAGCAAGGAGATGGATGATGGAGGGTGCATCACTGCTTTGCTTACGATCCATGCTTGGAATAACGCATGCATTGTAAATTTCTCCCGTGGCGATGACTTTCCTATGCATGTAAGGACATGCAATTTTTATCCCAACTCTTTTACTTACCCACCAAACTGTGAGCTGGATGACCGTCAATTTCCTATCGAACGTTCCACTCAAATGGACGTTACGTGGACACCTTGGGAGGCCGCCTAGACGGCGCGGCCTCATATTTCTAATATACATGGTGGCTCAAGCCAACAAAGTTGTTTTGTTGGCCCACATTGCTGTAGCCTTGGTTGATGAAGACACCGCTCCTAGCTGCAATCATACATTTTCCACAAAACCATGATTGTCGTAAGATCCTCGAGCCCAAATCGTGTCGCTTTAATATCCTCTCAAAAGCAAAAGAAAAGAAAATTATATACTGTTGTCTGTAGATCATTTTTCTCCCTCTAGGCCCTGCAAGTATAAGCACCCTCGCAACCACACTCACCAGCCCTGTGCGTGACTTGTTCCAGCCAACGCGTAAAATGGTGACTAGAATGGCTAGGCCGGGCCAAGGCCACGACACAATGATAGCAGATGGCTGGGACGGGGCCGGGCCGGGGCCGGGGCCGGGGCTGCCGATGAATGTGAAACTGGAATGATGTCGTGTAAGGGGAATCGTCTCCATAAAAATGATGTCGTTTATGACCGGGAATTTCTAATTTGTTTCTAACACCGTTTTAACATCATCGCTGAGTTATTAAACTGAAAACACGTAATTTTCCGATCTACCGAGGATAGTTGAAAATCTATACTATACAGCGTTTTCATCCCATATATCATCAGGTCTGGTGCTCCAGCAGAGCAACTCCATCCGCCATGGACACGCTCGGACTCGGAGGTTTCAAGCAGGCAAGACGCCCGGGGGCGGTGGAGCGCCTGCCTGTCGTGCGACTCGTGCCAAACCTAGGCAGCTCCATCAGACACGGACACGGCACGTCCAAAGATCAAATCTTCCTCAAAGTGATAAATTGCTCCTGACGCCTTGAACAGAAATAAACGACAAGTCCACATCGCTGTTCGTTTACCAAGTACCCGAACTGACGCTGATGGATCTATTTTAGCTCATTGGAGACAAAAAATCGAGCTGCCGGAAGTAGTAGCAGATGAACAAGTAGTAGTATACAAGCCTTTATTTATTGTTTGAATCCCAAAAGGACGTCACAAAAAAAGGAACCAAGAAGAAGAAACAACAACATCCACGTTACAGTTAAACAGCGCTGACAAAAAAGGGTAAGCCTGAAACTTGCTGCGCATGGATCATGGATGAGATTGCAGCGGTCGGTATAGGTGCCATATGAGTGTGTGTTCTCTTGTGTCTGGAAACCCAAAGCTATCCTATTACGCCCCCCAGGTTCAACCGGAGCTCTTTCAAACTCTCAGTTGGGACTTCAGAAGGAGACCTTGATGCCGAGCAACGCCATGAGCTGGGACACGAACTCTGGGTGCCCGGGCCAGGCTGCGCCAGTCACAAGGTTGCCGTCCGTGAAGCAGCAGTGGATCGGGTCAGGCTCCAGCCAGGTTCCGCCCCCAAGTACAACGTTGAGCTTCACGGCCGGGTATGCAGTGCATTTCTTCCCCTGCATATCAACCAACCAACAAACGAAGCATCAGTGCACACGTCAGTCAATCCAAGTTGTCAAATGCTCCGAGAAAACCAGACACATTTAGTTATTATTAAACCTAAGGACTAAGGAGAATCCGTGGTCAACAAAAGGAGCTATCATTAATCTGCGTTGACTACCATCCTTTCTGGACCCATAAAACTAGCAAGATTTGTTATGTTCAGAGCAAAATTTGCTAGGCCACACAGCACAAACACATGGAGGGTGGAGCTATCATTAATCTGCGTTGACTACCATCCTTTCTGGAGGAAGAAAACTAGTACGATTTGTTATGTTCAGAGCAAAATTTGCTAGGCCACACAGTAGGAACACATGAACCAAAAGAAACACCAAACGATACAGATTGTAGGGCATATCAAATTATCAACGGAAACAAGATTCTGCACAGCAATGATAGAGATGTACCTTAAGGACTCCAGCAGCTGACAATATCTGTTGGCCATGGCAGATCGATGCAATTGGCTTTCCGTTATCCGCGAAGGCCTTCACCAAGCTGATGACTTTATCATTCAGAGCCAGATACTCTGGAGCCCGCCCACCAGGAATCACAAGCGCATCATAGCTTGAAGCATCCACACTTTCAAATGATGCTGTTAAAGTAAAATCATGGCCAGGCTTCTCACTGTAAGTCTGATCCCTTCGAAATCATGAATGGCTGTCGGGCACTTCTCCCCAGCTCCCTTGTCAGGGCAAACAGCATCGACATGGCAGCCAAGAGCTTGAAGAGACTGGAATGGGACCATAACCTCATAATCCTCCATGTAGTCCTATTAATCATGCAATTAAGAAAAAGATTTCAGCAGAGTAGTAACTACTTGTGACACTGACACATATAAGATATACAAAGATCAATAATATGAATTAGATTGTCTGAGCAAGCCTGTTGGACTTCATCCCAATCGTGCAGTGTGTGAAATATAAAAATAAAGTTTAAAAGGTGTATACGGATGTGGAAATACTTGAGAACATGTATTTTTCTAAATACATACCCCACAGAGGAACAGTATTTTCTTGTCTGAGCCTGCCACTGAACCTCCAAGTGCTTTGACAAATAGGCTGATGAATTCAGGATGAGAATCATAAGTTGCTGCAGTGATGAGATTGCCATCAACAGTGCATTTTGCCATTGTGTCAGGTTCTTCCCACTTAGCACCAGCAGCAACCAAAACTGGTTTAACAGCTGGATACGCTGTGCAGGTACGGTTCTCAACTACTCTTGCTGCCGCTAAAATCAACTGTCCATGACAAACTGATGCAATAGGCTTCTTAGCATCAGAGAAATTTCTGACTAGGTTAAGCACCTTTCTATCCATTGCAAGATATTCTGGTGCACGTCCTCCAGGAATTACCAATCCATCATATTCACTAGCAGTAATCTCATCAAATGAAGCATTTAGTGTGAAATTATGACCTTTTGTCTCGGAGTATGTCTGCATGAGATATGCAAATGAGAGAATGAGTGTCGGCTTGTTAGAGCAACAATAAAGAGTAAGGTAACACGAAACAAACAAAAAGAGTAACACTACTGTTTATTCTTGCAGCTGTTAATCTAAGCCATATCAGTGTAGATACCACAGGAAGTAAGCAAGAGAAGCGACAGAGCAGTGTTATTGATTTAGTACGATACTAGTACTACCAGGGCCTCAAGGAAAATTATATTATACAAAGCAACACCTTTTGGGAACAGATTCTGCAGACAGGGATATAAGCCAGATAACTATCTCCTAGACAAGTATCCAAATATGTGATCATACATGAACTCCAACAACTACAATTCAAATACCTGGACAAATCTTCGTTATGGTCGCTAAGTATGTGGAATCTTACATGACAATGGTATATGGAAATCAGCGATACGCACGCAAGTTTGGAATCCTTTTACAATTTACAACACACTCACAGTTCTCCCAATGTTTAAACTGCGATTAAATTGAGAGACCCTGTATCATCTACATTTAAAGTGCAGGTCTCCAGCAGCTGCGTGTCGTCAAACTAGTTCATCCTGAAAACAACCTCCAGAAGCAGCTACTTGTAAACAAGCAAAAGGTTACAAATATTTTCACCTACCCTGGCTAAAGTAACACGAATTGCCTATACAGTTCATATAACACTTCCCTGGGATCTGAATATTATGGAGTAGTGAACAAATCAGATGCAGTGTCTTTGCTTTTAAAAAAAATGCAGTGTCCAATCTAGTTTATGCAAGCCTCCACTCTTCACTGTCAATCTAATAAACTCCTAACAAGTTTTCCACACAGCTTCATTTGGTCCAACTCATCATCTCACTAGAAGCAAGACGATATGACTAGCCCTAACCAACGGAACGCGACCACGCAAAAAGAAAAAGTAGAACACAGGGAGATCAATCCAAGGTACCTGGTGGCCGATCCCCTGATGGACGGCGGTGCGGCAGATGTTGCCGGCCTTCTTGCTAGGGCAGACGGCGTCCACGGACACCCCATACGCTTGCAGCGCTTGGAACGGGACCATGACCTAACCCAGCATCAATTCAAGAACCGATTTTGTTTCAGGATACACCAATCCAGGGCTGATTCTCGATCCAAACACAAGTAATTCAGCAGGAGGCAAAGCGAAAAAGAGGGGAAGAAAGAAAAGAGACCTCGTAGTCCTCCATGTAGTCGCCGCAGAGCATGAGCACCTTCTTCGCCGCCATCCCTAATCCCCCCTCGCACGCTCGCGACCGCGCAGGCGAGACGCTTCTGCTTGTTCCGTCGAGCTCGGAGTCTAGAAGCCTCTCCTTCGTCTCTACTGTCTAGTCTTCGGGAGTACAAGTGTTTTGTATATATGCCACTGGAGAGTCATCCGGAGAACACCTGGCTCTGATTTGCCTTCTACGCCTGTTTTCTTGATTTCTTTTCTTCTTTTTTTTGCTAACTTATTTTCCTGAGAATATTTTCATAGTTATCTGAATGATGATTTATAGCAAAAGTGTTTAATGCAACAGTTTCACTCTGATCGGCTGCCATTTTTATTGGGCTGCTGCTGCAGGCTGCAGCGGTTTCTGGTCTTTGGTTCACTGTTACTCCGCTGCTGCAGCCGGTGGAAAAAGTGCAGCCAGAGTATTGCGCTTTCTTTGAATGTGAGAAAGTTATCTAAAATTACAATCTCATGTTTTCTCTGTAAAACGAAACTGATTCTTATAAAATTCATATACGGTTCTCGTGAAAATCCTGCGTCCAAAAAACCCCTCACCGATCGACTTTACTGGCCGGCCGGCAAAGTTTCTATCACGAGGCAGAAAATAGGTGGATCTTGTTAGCAACGTCGGAACTGTTTTTTCGATCTTTTCGTGATGATGAAGTACAGATCGTGCAAAACTGCAAGTCGTTTGCTTTGATGAACTCTCCTGCAAATGCCTGGCGATTCGAGCTGAATAACGACTTAGTACATTCGTGCCTAGTAGAGGAGATATCTTCCCTGATCTGCCAGCAGATATTATGCAGATCAGGCAGCACACCACCATGTGATTTCGAGAAGTACGTGATATAATAATGCTCCCGTGCGTCGCGAGGCGAACCTTTTGCAGCTACAGGATCCCCAAAGTGGTGGTAGCCACCCTCCGTTGTGTATTTCTTTTTTCAGAAACAGGATTTCAGTAAGTTCAACTGTACTGTACCTCACAAGTGCACAAGAATGGGAGGCATATCTATAATTAAAAAGAAAAACTCATCATACAAACACAGTCAACTGCTAACAGCAAACGCCCTATTCACTTGGCTTATAAGCCGTACTTTTTCAATCAACGAACAATATTTTTTTCTCATAATAAATCAGCTAATAGTATCAGCTAATAGTACTTTCAACCATGACTTATCAGTCATGCTAACAGAAAAAAAGATCCGGACCTTGTTGCACTTGGGAAGTTGGGAGCACAGATGCCGATGCTAAAGGAACCTTGCGCATTGGCATCTCTTCATCTCTTGTTGCATTCAACTGTGTCCAACTCCATCATATAATTTCATTTTCAATTAGTAACATAAACACATCTCACCGTAATTTTGTAGTCAAAACTTGTGTTTAGTTGCCAGAAAAGAAGCTAGCTATCATGGCTATGCAGCAATTGAAACCAACAAGGCAACAACCATGGTATCTCAAAAGCATGATGCCAAAATATATACATAAAGAACTCATGCATAAACACATCATACAGAGATTGTAAGCAAAATGCCCCTTTTGGGGGTTGATTAATTATATTTCATTTCGGGCACAAATTGATCCAAGGAATATCCTGCTGTTAGTAAGGAAACTAATACAATACAACGTCTGAGGATTGGTCAGATATGCTGAACATCACACAGCTGTTTACATGTAAACCTCAAATCGATTATGAACGCTACCTCGCTTCTTATCTGACCTATAATTATCAATAATCAGCCTCACAAAATAATAGGCTTTGGCACTATCAAAATAAAAGGAAACATAAAGCGCCAGATGGAGTCACCCAAGAGATGCACTAAGCAAAGCAGGCATTTCAGTTTTGCCTCTCAAGCAACAGAACCCATGACAAAACCTAGAGCTCTTTGCCTCAAGCAACAGAACCAATGACAAAATCTAGAGCTCTTTGCCTCAAGCAACAGAAGCAATGACACCATAGCGCTTAAGAGAATACAACCTCTACTTTCCGAGCTAAGTCATCATCATCATCGAAATCTTCATCGTCTTGGTATGCATTTTCATCTTCAGATTTGTAGTCATGACCTTCAATTGTCTCGTACTCGTCAGACTCACCCTCTCTCTGGTCATAGTTATCCGCCTCTTGATTTCCTTCTGCATCCACTTCAGCAGCATACTCAACCTCAAACCTATCACCATGAGATGAAGACTGCCTATGTGCATCCACAGGGATATGATCTTCCTCTTTATACTCTTCGTCACCTGAACCACTCTTGCAATCTGCAGAGCTGGTAATGTTGTCACAGCCTTTCTTCTCAGTTTCAACCAGAGAACCTGTCTGCATGACTGCAACATCAGCAGATTTCTCATAGTTGGAAGAAGAGTTATTGCCCTGTGCTGCCTCTCTTTTTCTTTGTAAGATGATACTGAGGGGTTTCGGACCCTCAAAATCAAGAGATGCTTCGGATTCCACAATTCCATTTGCCTTCCTTGGCTCTCCCAAGCTTCTGTGAGCAGCAAAATGAGCTGAATCCACTGCATCTCTTCTAGCAGAGAGGCCATCTGCATGCCTGACAGTAGAGACAATCTCACTTGACCTCCGGTAGCTCCTTTCTTGATTCTGTCCAGCCTCCCGATGCCTACCACCATGAAAATCCATACGCCTAACTGGAGAAAATCTTTCCCGGACTCTCCTCCTGTCTCGTTCATCCTCAAAGCGAATATCAACTCTATCAGGTGATCTTCGAGGAAGCTTTATTCTGGCCTGCAGACGGGAACTCAGAGTGCTTCCTCGTGGGCCCTGATAGCAATCTCTCTGTGTGTGGTGACCACCATGTGGCCTTTCTCTGTAGCGTTCATCCCTCCAGTGCCGGTCCCCATTATCCCGTTCTGGGCTAATGGCTGTTGAAGGCCCATTTATTCTTCTCCTGCGGAGCTGATGACGTAGATCTGATCCATCTATGTCGTTGCGATCAAGCTCTCTGTGGAGAAACCTTCTATCTGGATGGTAAGGTCTGTCTAAGCTCCTCTCAGATGAGGATCTACGACGTTTCCTCTCATAGCCATCATACTGTCCAATCCGTCCGTTCTCACCCATTCCATTGTTGAACTGCTCACTTTCATGATGGGCCCGAATATCAAAATCAGCTGGAGCATATTCATAATCTTCTACCGGGTACAAATCCCTTCCAAAATCTTCCTCGTTATGTAAATAAGCAGCACCGTCTCCATCATTGTCTACAAGAACATCAAAACCAGGAGAAGACTCCCCAAAAAAATCATCAGCCTCCCTGCTATTCTGTGGCAGGTCATCAGTAGGAGGCATTTCAAAATTTTGGTTCCAGTCTTGGACAGGATCACCCTCCACAGGAACCTGGTTCTGATAGTGCATAGGATGATCCTCAGTTGTGAAACTTTTCTTTGCTGCAAGTGTATTACTGGGTGCCAGCTCTGAGTTGGGCCCAGACTTCACTGCATTAGAAGCTACATCAGCGGGAATTGCACCCGCACCACTCTTGGAAACATGAGCCGTAGTCCTGTTATCAGTTATTCGAGCCTCTTGCTGCGTTGAATTATTTGGAGCTGCAGCATCTTCATTCTTTTGAGCCTGGGACAGTTCCAAAGGGAAGGAAGAAACCTTCGCCACCTGCTCTGCAGGATTATTACCAGCTGTTTGTGGTCCATGATAAAAAGGGCATCTATCACCCTTCAAGCAGTTCCCTTTCTGGAAGTAATAGCATGGGACCATCTGCTTGCCCGGGTTATAGGCACCATAGTGCGCAGAAACTGGAGGTAGTCCAGAAGTTGGGGCACCAAAGAGACCATCAATTGGCTGGAGAAGGAAAAGGAAGAAAAAAACAAAGTTTAGAAAATAATGTAAACAGATAAGATGGGCAAGTACTTATAAATCTGATAGTAAATATTGAGGAAATGGAAATAGACATACCGGATGGCGGAATGCACACTTAGGATTCAAACAACTGCCATTCAACCAGTACCAACAGTCTCTAGGGTTCATCCGTGCACCCTCGCTGTGACGAAAATCGCATTCATTACCCTAATGGAAGGAATAGAGAGAAATATTAGTTTAAGATTTGATTGGAAGGGCATAAGAAACAATAGCAGGTAAACATGCATGATAATTTGAAATTCAACAGTCGGATAGTATTACAAATGGACTAACATTATATAGTTTAATCAAGTCAAACCATGAATGAATATAACGTGACACGTTGAATAGTCTAATCAAGCCAAATCATTAATGAATATAATGTGACACGTTGAATGGGCTAACAATATGCGAACCAATACACACAAGAAGCAGAGGACAGCCAGGCATGAAAGTCTACTGACACATATCAGGCGTTTGCATTGATGGAGCAAATGTCTATTTGCCTTTTTCACATATACAGTAGTACACTGATAGTTTATACAATAAGTTGTTAGACTGATATTGTATTGCACAACATGTTTTGTCAGATTATGATAGCGAAACTGTTCCATAATAAAATCGCCAGCATGTACCAATCCAGAAAGCCCAGTGAGGTTCTAGGCACCAGAAAATTTTCTCTCAGGCCTTCTCCAACATCTAAAAGATTGTATCACTAAATCCAAGGGTGATGTGGTGCCAGTAAGCCTACCCGATGCCCAGATGACACAACTTTACAGAACACATTAATCTGGCTCTAGGTAGCATCACAGACATGGAAAATGCACACGCTTGGACCCAGGGGTTAACAATTTATCAAATTCCCGAACGCTGCTCAAATCGTGATTCCAAATATCGCCCCTAAACACACATGCGTCGAAAACAAAAACAGAATTTGATGTTTTTTTCACCGCGAAATTCACAGGTACCTAGCAAACAAACCCTACCGAGACCCTATTCCCAGACCAAACCGGCCGCCTCGAAGGGGGGGAAAATCACACGCCTCAATCGCCTAAACCAGCACCCGGAAGGCCGGAACCCTAAGAAACTCGCGCGGTGGCAGAGGAGAAGACCGGGCGCGGAGGCGCGCGGCGTACGTACCTTCTTGCAGGTGAGCGGCGAGGCGAGGAAGTAGACGCAGTCGGTGCTGCGCCGGAGCGCCTCCTCCTCCGGCGTCAGCGGCTTCGCGGCCGCCACCTCCGCGGCGCTGTCCACCTCCATGGCCCCCGTTCCGAAGGTGGCGGTGGGCCGCGGGATCCTCGTCCCCTGCCCCGGGCCGCGCGCCGATCGCGGAGGGCGGAGATAGGGCTCCTGGCGGCTGCGGCGGGCAGGGGTTAGATCTACGGCCGCCTCCGCTCCGCGGGAGGAGGCTAGGCTAGGGTTTGCGAAGGCGACGGGAGGGGGATGGGCTCGTCTCGTGTGGACTGGATTGGATTGGCCGCCTCTGCCTCTGCCTCTGCTCTGCCTGCGGGTATATGACGGGAAGGGGACACACAGGCAACGAACCAAACCAACGGGCTCCCTCTCTCTCTAGCCGCTAGACCGCTAGAGAGGCGGCAGGCAGGTAGACACGGCCGCATCGTAGCACTACTATCTCCTAGCACTAGCAGGCTACTACTACCACACAGTACCAGCTATGATCCGGACGAATCAGAATCATCCGTTTCGATCGTGGATTATAAGTGAAGAGTAGTGCCGTGGTTGGTTAGGTGTCAGAGAAAAATATTGTTTTAGCTTTATATTTCACGATCGTATAAGCCAAAAAACGAACAGGCTGTTGCGTTGCGTGTGCGTGCGCCGCTGCTCTCGATTTCGGTTCGCGGCTCTTCCCTTCGGTCTTTCCTTTCTGACTCTAGTTTGAAGTTTCCCCATTGACTTTCAACTCTCAGGCTCGGATCGTAGTTTTTTTTCTGGTTACTAGTATATTGTTTACGGAAACTCTATTACGTGACCCGTCGCGACGTCGTGTGACGGCGTGACTCCCTAGCGTCCGCGGTGGGACGGTGGTCGGCTGCAGGGGCGAGGAGGAGCAGGAACGGCGGTGGGGTCGAGGTCGAGGATGAGGAGGAGGCGGGCTTGACGACAAGTGAGGTGGGGGAGGAGGAGACGAGAAGGGAAAAAGGGGCGGAAAGGTGGCGGCGCGAGGAGGAAGGAGAACCCGTCACGCATTAGTGGCCTCCAATTGTTTATGTAAAATTAAACTGGCTCCTATAAAATTCTTGTACAAGTCATAATATTTCTATATTTCAAACGAACCAGTAGAAAGGAGTAGGAAAAAACTACAGTGATTTTTCTTCCCAACCAAAGAACCAAAAAGTGGACCAGAGATCGGATTGCTCATGCAACCATGGTCATTTATTTGCAATATATATATGATAACAATAATTGTTTTTATGAGTTGTATAAAAAATATATTATTTATTTGTGTACTTTCTACAGTACTATCAATGGTAGAAGAAAGTCTAGGACCATTATGGCCCTAGGCATTGGCCCGTATATTCTATAATATTGTGGCACACTACACTATATTAAGGAGGTCCGATCCATCCCGTAAACCAATCTATGGAGTGTTCTTAAGCGTTAGGCTAGACTAGCTTCACTATTGTGAAAGTCGTGTAATGTATCGTAGATTTTTTTCTTGTAAATTTCTCATATTTACAGGAACACTTTTCCAATTCTAATTGTTGAACGCTAGACAAAAATTCCTAGGTCCGCTAGAGCATCCAATGAGCTAATGACAGTAAGCCATGCTCAAAATTACATAGTGTTTTAAAAGGAAGAAGTCAATTTTGAGCCATCCAACTATTGGTCGAATTTTTTTTGATCATGTAACTCTAAAGCCTAAAATATTTGACTAATGAACTACCAACGCTAGAGAAATTCGACCATCTAGCTGGTTTCAGGATGGTTTTGCATTGATTGAAAAGAATACAAACGGTTTGCTTTCTAAATCAAAGAAAATACGATTGCAAAAATATATAATGTGCCTATTGGTGTTAGATTTGGAGTTATTTCAATCTTATTTTGAGTTCTTTTTTTGTGAAAAAAAAACGTATTTATAGTTTTCCTAGTGTTTTATTACTTGGGGCTGTTCACGTCATTTATTTAAATCATCATCTGTGCTATGTCATTCCTAGAGATCGAACAGGAGAATCTATACTCAAAATAGATTACCAAATATGTTAAATTTAAATTAACCAAATTATCTTTAGAGCTAGGGATTCCATACTAGTTGCAATGTCAAAATATGATTTGCATGTGGTGGAGCATGGCATATACGCGGTTGGTTTCATATTTATCTTTGATTACTCATCATCTACTATGGATCTATTGGTTATGGATCTATTCAGCGAGATGGTTTATGCGGTTGATAAGCCGGCTGAAGCTGATTTGTTGTGAGAAAAAAAACACTGTTCTATGATTGATAAGTCAGGTTGATAAGTTCAATCGGGTGAAATAGAACGCAAAATGATGATTTAAACAAGTAACTAGCATGACCACAAGCAATAAAATACTAGGAACAAGAACAAACAAAACCAATAATTCAGTCCATATTTAATGAATCCATAGATTTTCCTAGAGCTGGATACCAGGATATATGTAGCTCCAAGAAATCCTGGATGTGAAGCTAGAGGCACGTTGTGACTATTTACATTAATCATTTTTACCATTTTGCTTACATTGTTCAGATCAAATATAAATATTTAGACCACTTTAATTTAGGCTAGAAATTGCAAACCCAACCTAAATATTGGCAAATAGGCTCACTTCTTTACTGTTCATCCTGTGAGTTCACAGATGATTCCGCGGTTACATCATCCTGCATTTTGTAATCCATGCATAGTGAATCAATTTCACAATAAGGCACACAAGTGAAGCCAATTCAAGTGATGCCTATATTGGAATTGCAAATAATATTTCAGCAGTCTATGCCAATAATGAACCAACTGTTTGAAAGAGGAGCTGCAGGTAATCCATAGATCCACATAAACAAAATTCAAACATCAACAAATGCCAGTTGCACATCTGTGGATGATTCAGGTTACAAAATTCAATGAACTTCAAAGGCAAAATTAGTTTACATGAATCACTTTATTACAGCCCTTGTTTGTAATTCCTAATGTTCATTGGTTTCTTCAGGTGCAGCTCTCTGTCATAAAGGCAAAGCATATCCTATATCACCAAATAAGAGCAAGTCAGGCCACGGATACAAGATGTAATACCATATGCTGCCATTATTTCAAATGGAGTAATTTTGCACACCAAAAGAAAACTGAAGTGTTTTTATTATAAGTACAAGGTTTTTTCTTTCTTTGGCATGGATCATGATCAAACTGAAAATAAGAGCCAAGCAAGTTACAAGGAACAATTTTGCATGCTCCATTCTGAAGAGCAACAATCAAAGTAGTACATGTTACAAATATCTGCAAAAAAATGACTTTGTTTTAACTCAGTGTCCTCACTTCTCTTCTGCTCAGCTCCTAGCCATGATCAGATGCGCTTGTTTAAACCTATAATAACCACTGTTAAAATATAGAAACCCCATCTTTTTTCAATGAAAAAGAACAGAGAACTTTTTTTTCTTCATTAGCTTGATCTAATCAACAAGCATGAAGGATCTCATATTACTAACTACTAAGTCTTGCTAGCTGGAACTGATAGGTTCAGTATTTTATGGTTGATCAGATTGCACCAACTAAGTGACAGATATCCATGTTGCTGAGAACATTAGATGAAAAAACTATTCTCTCAACAATTTCAAGAACCATAAGAATGCAAAACTCATTCCTAAGGTAATAGCCAAATGTAGACAACCCATATTGCAAACCACAGATGCATTGGAAATAATGACATCACCTCAGAAAGCAGCAGCATACGATACAGAATGCTGAGAAACAAAAAGGAACACTGTCCGCCCTCCATTTATTTATAGAAGGGGGGGGGGGGACCATGTTTTAAAAAGATTTTTTACATATGAATCTAGGGAACAACCACCTTGGTATCTACAAGTAAAATTTAGTCTACCCATTGCACAAAACAGAGAAATGCATTGAAAAGGTGAAGAACAATAGCACCTCAGGTATCAAAGACAAACAAAAACTCAACTACTTTGACGGAGTACTATCTATGGGGCAATGTTTAACCAGGCATCACTTTTCCTGAGTTTAGAGAACCACAATCTTATGGTGGACATGTAAATTCCAAGTCTATATAGCTAAAACCAGATCTTAATATTTTACTAACAAAGAGGGCCGGTAATGGAACCAGTGGATCAATCAACACGATTGCAATGACTAGTCCTAAAGACTGTATTCCTTCTATTTACAACTAGGGTGCTGCCGTGGCACCATTCACCCGGCAAAACAGGCCAAACTTTCCACTTAATTAAAAAAAGGACCACAACAAACCATACAAAACATAATTTATAGTATCAAGCTATACTGGCAACAAGCTACTATAAATAAAACAATACAACGCCTGCAACTAGTTCTGATATGAACTGCTAGCATTTTAAGTTCTTCACACTAGTGTAACTCTGAAAGGTATGTTGAATAAATTCACTATTCATCACTGCATAAATAAAGACCCTTGTTGATTTATTTATTTTGTTAACATTGCAAAAAAAAAACAAAAGATTCTAGAAAATCTAAACTACTATGGAAGTTCACAAGTTTTCAAATTGACATGCGCCATTTCGCACCCAGAGCCAATAAATCAAAGAATGAACACACAGTCATAAAGCGGTAGCTCCCATGCCCTTGACCAAAAAAACAGTCAATTAGTTGGTGATAACTCTGATACTAGACAAGCTAAAACAACTTCTTTCATAACCATACACATCCACAGTATCCAGAGCTCGAAAATAGGTCAATAATTTTAAACCAAAAGGGCTCCCTAAGATCATGATTGTTAGAAAAAGACTAATAGCTCTCTGCTAATACAGTGGACAATTGGACATAGATGTAAAACTAGCTCTGTAGAAAAACAATCGAGCACAATTGAACTAATTGCTATTAAATCACAAATAGAAAGGAATATCAACGTGTATTTCAGTATCACAAAGGTTAAAAACGGAGTTTCATCAGGACAGGACGCTATTCATTCACATATTCATCAGTCATGAGGTTGGGGATTGACCTCATAGCTGCAAAGCACAGCTGGAAGGCACTAAGATGCACGAGTTACGAAACTAGCCGGTCACTCACATGACTCCTTCTGTATCTTGGTTTATCTGGTGTATAAGTAGAACAAACAAACTACCTGATGAGTACTGTGTAATGAACTCAATTCATGAATTGCTTGGTCCACTGCGAAATTGATTCGAGAAATGATGATGTGGCCATGCTGGCAAAACGTTATACTAAATTAGCGATCTGACGGGGCTTAGAACTTTTTTTTCCTCGTTCAATCTTATCCGAAACCCAAAAACCTCAAACTGCACAATCACATGAAAATGTTGCAGAGCATGCAGCAAGCCAGCAACCAACAACAAATCCAAATATTTGACAGCATGCCATTATCCCCTCAAATGGTAACAGCCCAGAACAAAGGGTTACCTTGCGAGAGCGAGCTCCAGCAGGTGGAGTCGACGGCGATGCAGGACCTAAGCCGCGCGGCCGCCACCGCGCTGTGCAGCGGCATTAGCGTTTCGAGCCCCGCCGACGCCGCGGCCGCCGATCTGCACCAAAACCAAACGGGCGATATGAGCGCACGCGCCGAATCCCATCAGAGGACCAATCGCAAGGGAGTCGGTTGGTTACCTGCGGAGGATCCGGGCGGACCGGGCAGCGGAAGGCGAGGCAAGGGAAGGCAGTGGCGCTCCGAGGACGCGGCCGGTAAGGGGTGCGGAGCGGACCGCCGACCTCACGGCGACGGCGGCAGCGGCGGCTGTGCGGGATAAAGATGCCATTTCCTCTTCCCCTACCTTCTCGCGTCGGTGTCGAAGCAAAACCTCGTGGGGGGTTCGAGAGGCTAAACCCTAGACGCTGCTTAGTTTGGGCCGACCGGCGTTCATCAGGCCGACTTGGTATGGGCCGGAGGAGGAAGAAATTTGGGTGGCCCATGGATGGCTGCTAAAAGCATGAGACTTAAACTCCAGGTCTATTTTTGCACCGTACCAAACATTGTGGTGAAATAATTAACAAGTTTAAAGATCTTAAAATATGTTTTCAAAATTTATAGACCTGGGTGGCACCCTTAACAAATTTAGAGGCTGATCATGCATTTAATCCTTAACTCTAATAGTATCATCATCCTTTCTGGAATTTATAGGCCCCAAAGCCAGGCCATTTCTTTTCAAAGAATCCATACTCTCTCTCTCTCTCTCTCTCCTGACTTCATGGTGCGCCAAGTATATCTCACCTTTTGTTCGCCGATGACTCGTTAATTTTGATTCGTGCGACCGAAGGGGATAGTAGGCAGCTGCAGATAATACTAACAATTGTATGAACAGTGTTCAGAGCAAATGATAAACAAGGCGAAATAAGCAGTGCTTTTCAGTAAGAATACAAAGCCTAAACAGAAACAAGTGGTGTCTAGCATTTTGCAGGTCTGAAAGCTCTAATTTGGTTTTGGTTAATTGATGAAACCCTAAGTGTTAACCTAGTTTATCAAAGTGATTATGAGATAGGTAGCACTACTCCAAGTGATGAAGCAATGGCGAAGATCATGATGATGGTGATGGTATGGTGACGATCAAACGCTTGAACTTGGAAAAGAAGAAAGAGAAAAACAAAAGGCTCAAGGCAACGGTACAAATAGTAGGAGCCATTTTGTTTTAGTGATCGAGACACTTAGCAAGTGTGATCACATTTAGGATCGATAGCCGTACTATTAAGAGGGGTGAAACTAGTATTGAAATACGATTATCAAAGTGCCACTAGATGCTCTAACTCATTGCATATGCATTTAGGATCTAGTGGAGTGCTAACACCCTTGAAAATGTTTGTGAAAATAAGCTAACACATGTGCACAAGGTGATACACTTGGTGGTTAGCACATTTGAGCAAGGGTAGGAAACTTCACCGGCAGAGTGTCCGCCCGTAGAGTGTGGACAGTCCGACGGTGCCACCGGCGCCCTAAACAGAAAAGACGAAGGTCACTATAAGTGACCGGACACTGGTCTTAGTTGGACCGACGCGTCCGGTCAGGAGCAACAGTAAGCGCGTGGTCTCGGTCTTCGACCGGACGCTGGCACTAAAAGTGATCGGGCGCTGGCAGGGTGCGTTCGGTCAGTGCTGATGTACGCTGACGTGGGACGCACAAAGGAGACATTGAGTAACCGGACGCCGGGTGAGTCCGGTCGGACATGACCGAACGCGTTCGGTCGTGAAATCTCGCGCTTGGAATCTTACTGGAAACGACCGGACGCTGGGGTCCAGCGTCCAGTCACTTTCTAACTGACGTGTCTGGTCATCACTTGACTGTTGAGATAGGGCGACCGACGTTTGAAGCCAATGACACGTGGCAAGCATCGGGCGACCGGACGCTGGGGTCCTACGTCCAGTCGATCTGACTGGTGCGTCTGGTCACCCCGTGTTGTGCCCAGTGAAGAGGTACAACGGCTCTATTTCGTGGGGGCTTCTATTTAAGCCCCATGAGTGGCTCAAGCTCATGCTCTTGGCCATTTGCATTGACATAGCAACCTTGTGAGCTTAGCCAAAGCCCTCTCACTCATCTGCATCATTGATTCATCATCTTTGTGAGATTGGGAGAGAATCCATGTGCATTGCTTGAGTGATTGCATCTAGAGGCACTTGGTATTCATGTTTCGCTGCGGGATTCGCTTGTTGCTCTTGGTGGTTGCCACCACCTAGACGGCTTGGTGCAGCGGTGGAGGATTGCCATGAGTTGGTGATTGTTCGTGGCCATCTCCGGTGATTGTGAGGGGATTTGTATCTTCCCCGGCGGAGCGTCGAAAGATAACTCTAGTGGATTGCTCGTGTCATTGAGTTACCTCACTTGCGGATAGGTTCTTGCGGTGTCCAATCGTGTGGACGAGGTTTGTGCAACACCTCTTAGCCGTCGAACCACCAAGTGTTGGTCGACACAACGGGGACGAAGCGTGTTGGGAAGCACGTGAACCTCAGGAGAAAATCTGTTGTCTCTTGTCATTTGGTATTCTCCCAGTGATTGGTTTAATATTCATCTTGTGATTGGTTTACTTCTCTACACGACAGTATAATTATCCTACTCACTCATTTATATTTTTGCAAACTAGTTGTGGCAAGCTCTTTAGTGTAATTAGAATTGAGAGCTTGCTTTGCTAATTAAGTTCATCTAGTGGAGCTCTTTAGAGTAACAAGGTTGAGAGCTCTTAGTAAGTAGTATCATAGCAAGTTATGTGACTAGCAATCATTGCAACTAGAATTGTTAGATAGGTGGCTTGCAACCATTGTAGAGCTAGAGCAAGTTTGTATTTCGCTATTTATCATACTAATCAATTTGCTCTAGTTGATTTGTAGATTTTTAAATAGGCTATTCACCCCCCTCTAGCCATATTAGGACCTTTCAAGTGGTATTGGAGCCGTGGTCACCGTTTGATTAAAGACTTAACAACCTCGGTGTCAAATTATGGCTCAAGTTGTGTTCAACCATGTGGGGGGCAAACCACCGTTCTTTGATGACATATGATATGATTATTGAAAGAGAAAGATGAGGATATATCTTGGTTCAATCAATTATCAATTATGGGAAGTGACCGAGAATGACTATGCTATCATTGATCCCGACAATCCCACCAACCAAGATAACACCAACAAGCAATGCAATACAATGGCTCTCAACACCATATACAATGCCATTGATTCTAAGGTATTTAAGCAAATCAAGGATTGTGAAAGAGCCAATGAGGTGTGGAGGAGATTGGAGGAAACATATGAGGGCACACCGGTGGTAAAGAGTGCCAAGTTATACATCCTCAAGGATAAGTTGACAAGCTTCAAGATGAAGGATGATGAGAGCATTCCGGAGATGTTCCATCGGTTGTAAGTAATTGTCAATGACTTGAAGGCTTTGGGAGAGAAGATCAAGGATGATGATGTCTCTCATCGGTTCTTAATGTGCCTACCTCTAAGATTTGAGATGCTGAGATTGCTCATCATAAGAGGAGGATTGAAGGAGATTACCCATAACCAAGTACTAGGTGATGTCATGACCCAAGAGACATACCGTGTGGAAAGAGAAGGGGATGACAAGGATGACAAGAAGGAAGAAGAAGAATATAGCATTCAAGACTAGCTCATCATCATCCAAGAACAAGGGCAAGTCCAAGAAAGAATCAAGTGATGATGATGATCTTAGTGATATTGATGATGAAGCTATGGCCCTCTTTGTACGCAAGATGGGAAAGTTCATGAAGAAAAAGGGCTATAGTGCAAGAAAGAGAAGAGATCACACCAAAAGCAAGGAATATATGAGAAGATGCTACAATTGCAAGAGCCTCGATCACGTTGTAGCAAATTGTCCCTACAATAGTGACAATGATGAGGATGAGAAGAACAAACTCAAAAATGATAAGAAAGAAAAGAAGAATAAAGGTGGAGGCTATGTGGTCACATGGGATAGTGATGACTCTTTGGATAGTGATAGCTCTAGTGATGATGACAAGAAATCTATCAAGAGAGCACTAGCAAGCATCGCCATCAACAATAAGCCCTCTATTTTCGACACTTCATCGACATGCCTCATGGCAAAGCCTACCAAGGTAAAATATAATGAGAGTGGTGATGATGAATGTGAAAGTGATGCTTATAGGAATGATGATGATGATGAGGAGGAGGAGGAGTACACCAAGGAGGAACTCTTGGACATATGTGAGCAAGTGCACACTTGCAATGAGATAAAGAGAAAGGAGTGCAAAGAATTACGCAAGAAAGTAAAATTTCTTGAGCAATCCTTTCATGAGCTCAATGCCACCCATGAGAGGTTAATGGAAGCCCATGAGAAGCTTGGCAAAGCTCATTCTAAGCTTGAAAAGGCTCACTCCTCTCTCATCGAGCAAGTTAAAGTGGAGGAAGCCAAGAAGGAGCAAATGATTGCATCATGTGATGTGGGACTAACATGTGATCTTATTAATGAATCTTTTTATGAGCCCATTTTAGTAGCTCCCACTAACATTTCTTGTAGCACTACCACTTCTACTTCACCTTTGAGTGATGGTCTCACTTGTGATGTCTCACTAATGGTGAAAAATGAGACCCTCAAGGAGGTGAATAAGCTCACTCGTGCCTTAGGCAATGCTTATGGTGGAGATGTCCGCTTGCTAAAGTGCTTGAGTAGCCAAAGATTTTCTCTCAATAAAGAGGGATTATGCTATATCCCAAAGAAAGACAAGGCGGCCTTTGTCACTCCCAAAGTTAGTTTTGTGAAGGGCAATGGTCGGTTTTAGCATATAGAGAATATTGCAAGATTAACAAGAACAAGTTGGGCAATGTATCCTCAATTAAATTTGATTCTTGTTACATGCTTTTTAAGGGTGCCAATGGTGTGAAGGCTAAGTTCATTGGTATACTAATTGATTAACAAGGCCATTTGGGTACAAGCTAACTAACCTTCATCCTCAATTAAAAAGAATTGATTTCTTGTTACAATTATAAAGCGGAGGAAGGCATTGGGTGCTTGATAGTGCCAATGGTGTGAAGGCTAAGTTCATTGGTATACTAATTGTGGGCTAATGGAAAGAGCCAAAGAAGAAGGCAATTTGCATTTAAGGTAGCCAACTTGAGCATTTCGATGTGCTACTAGTAGAGAGCTTAAACTTCAACCTATTATCGGTAGTGTTGACACAAAATGTGACGACTTTGCCTGCCTCACACACAAGCAGCCGGAAAGCGTGGCTTCAATCTTGCCCGTAACTAACCTAAAAAAAACTAACAAGGATAAAACCCAAGACAGTTCCATTTGGGTACC